CATTGATATATACATCTTTGTATTTGATGCTTCAACCTGAACAGTAAACCACATAATTTTGAAATTTTGTTCTTTTATAGATTTGATGGAAGAAGCTTTTGAATTTCGAAGTTGGACAGGGATCAATTTCGCTAAAATGACTTTGATCAACCAATGCAACTACACGGTATGGCCAGCTCTGAGCGGTAAGGTCAGTCTTTCAACCACGGGGTTCGTTTTGCCAAGCAGCGAAAATTCCAGTGTCAATGTACTCATGAATTGGCTGGGTCGAATCTAGGGCCGTACACTCTGCACCACCGACTCAATTATCGAAAAATTCTCTTGTGCTACCGGTGACTGCAGTTCTGGCAAGATGGCATGTAATGGAAGTGGAGGCTCTCCACCGAACACGCTGGTGGAGTTCAGTTTAGACGGCTTCAACGATATTGACTTTTATGACGTGAGCTTGGTGGACGGGTTCTACCTGCCCGATTGTTGTTCCCGTAAGTGGTCAGGCAGCAACTGTAAGAGCACGGGGTGCGTGATGGATTTGAACGCAGTGTGTCCGACGAAGCTAAAGGCAACCAGAAATGAGGAACTGGTGGTATATCGGCATAAGCGCAGTGTTTTCAAATTCCTAATTCCCTTACAATTTTGCCATGTGATAATATTTTAATTTAAATAAAAAATTCACATAATCAAACAATGTATACATAAATAATTACAGTTTAATACTGTCTCTTAAAACTTAACGGAAACAACAAAATTGGTTCTCAATTTTAAAAATATATAGACCCAATTCTGACAATTTAAAAAATAAGATTCATTTGAGATTTCTTAACAAATACAAATATCATCTTAAGATTTAAACCTAACTTTTAAGATTAAAACTGAAAAAACAAATATGTATACACAAAATAGATATAATGATTACTAATTTTTTATTCTAACATAATTTTGTTAAATTGTAAAATAATTTGTATTAGAAATAATTATAAAATGGGATAATTTGTATCTTATTTATTATAATAAATACTTTTAATTTTAAAAAATAGCTATCAATAGAATAAAATGGTAAAATAACAATTTTAATTTATAAAATAATTAAATTTAGATAATATAATTTAAAAGGTAAAAATGTAAATAAATTATTTTAATTTTAAATAACGCTTAATTAAAGAATAAAATTGGAAAAATATTATGTACACGAAAAAGTAATCTTATTATATAGGTATAAATAAATATTTTTTTATTCATACAAGAATTTATTAAACTATACAATAATTTTTATTAAAAATAATTATAGAAATAGATAATTTGTATATTTTTTGTTACAATTAGTTATTTGAATTTAAAAAATTAATTCCAAAATAATAAAATAAAATAATCATTTTAATTTAAAAAAATTAAATCTAGATAACAATAGTAAAAATGGAAACGTAATTATTTTAGTTTAAAATAATAATTAACTAAAATATACCATTGGAAAAAAATTGGTAC